GCCCACGACTCGGACTCGAACTCGGCTCTCTCAATTGGCAGTCTAGTGCTTTGCACACTCGGCCATTGCGCCTGACGGGGCAGCGTGAGCAAAATGACATACATAAATGTCTGTTGTTTCCTTTGCACTAACTGATTTCGAATCAGCATTCGAAGCTGGCAACGATATTTTCGAGTTCACTCGGATTCAGTGATAGCAATTTTTTCATATTCGTAGCGGGCATTTGAATTCGTAGATTTTCTACGATGGATTCCGTGATAGCTCTGAATATCTGCTGCATCGTAGAATAACTGTGGAAGAACCGCATAAGCGAAATGGCCCTGTACAATGCACCAACTGCCAGGAGTATGGTCATACTAGGTCTTACTGCACACTTCGCTCAGTGTGCGCAGCTTGTGGAGAGTTACATGTCTCTGCCACTTGCACATCAAACAAAGAAGACCCGCGTGCAAAAAAATGTGGTAACTGCAGTGGAAATCACACAGCAAACTACAGAGGCTGTCCAGTCTATAAGGAGTTAAAAAACCGGATCACCAACGCGTGGCTTCCGTTCGAAACGAATCCTAACGTTTTCTTCGCCAAAAGAGCCACGTCGCAACAGGTCTATCAAACAGCGTCAATGGCGCCTCGTTTGCAAGTGCCTTAAAATCAGGCTTAGAAAACCATGCCCCTACAAAAACAGCACCTGAAGTTGCGCCGCAATAACAGCATCCCCATGCACAATACGGAAAACAATATAATATCGAAGCTATGATAGCGTCGATGCAACAAAAGATCATGAATTTCATGACTTTCATGCAAAACACAATGCAAGAACTCATTGCGAAATCAAAATACGCTGCTCAAATGCTTGCTACTCAGCAAACAAGATAATGACCTCACTTAAAATAGCCCTCTGGAATGCAAATGGCATTCCTCGCCACAAACTAGAGCTGTAAAAATTTCTTAAGGACAAGGAAATTCACATAATACTCCTTGCTGAAACACACCTAACTAATAGATATATTTCGACATTTTGGGATATACCTTTTATTGCACGAACCATCTAGATGGAAAGGCGCATTGCGGAACTGGTATTTTAGTTAGAAACCGGATTAAACACCATCATTTGACTGGAGTTGCCGAGAATTATCTGCAAGCAACATCAATATGCGTACAAAGAAAGCAAGGTGATATTACGCTGTCCGCGGTTTATTGTCCCCCACGTTTCACGATAACAGAAAAACAGTTTATGGATTTCTTCAGTTCGCTGGGAGAGCGCTTCCTTGCTGCAGGTGATTATAATGCGAAGCACCCTCACTGGGGCTCACGCTTGTCTAACCCTAAAGGCAAGCAATTATACAACGCACTTATATGTAGAAGAAACAAACTCGATTACGCTTCTCCTGGAAAGCCTACATATTGGCCGGCAGACCCGCAAAAGTTGTCGGATTTGCTTGACTTTCGTGGACAACGAAATTCCTCGCGGCCTTATTAGTACAGAATCAGTTGCAGATCTCTCATCAGACCACTCACCTGTATTTTCACCGCAAGAAAAAGAGTCACCCTATATGCTCACGACAAGGGCTACAAATTGGTTAAAGTATAAAAAATATATCAGTGCGCATATAGACCTCGATCCAAATTTAGATACGCCGACCGATATTGAAAACCATAGCCGCTCTTGAATTACACTTAGAGCAGCCGCTAGCGTTTCCACACCCCAGAAAGGTTATGTGCAAGATAAAAAATATAATTTAACCAATAGGAAAATTGAAATGCTTGTATTGGAAAAACGACGCCTACGACGGATATGACAGACTCATAGATCACCAGCATCAAAACAACTGCTCAAGGCGGCCACACATGCACTCACGAGAGCCCTCAAGAACAAGGAACAGTACGCACAGTACCGGTACATCCAAAAGCTCTCACCGACAAAATCTAAATGCGCCAATAGAGACTGAAATGCCAGTACGGGCCCATAATGGCAAATGGGCTCGGAGTTTTTAGGCCAAACCCCGCAACTAATGATTTTCAACTACCACCCGTAGCCAATATGTCAAAATGTGAGCCGCTGAAATTTGTACCTGAAGAAATTTCAAAAGTAATTAAGGATCAACTGCAACCAAATAAGGCCCCAGGGCACGACTTAATAACCCCAAAAATGATTATTGAGCTACCAAATTGTGCTGTACTTTGCATCTGAATGCTATTTAACGCAATCACAAAACATTTCACTCACCAATGGAAAAAGTCGACTATTGTGATGATACCAAAGCCCGGAAAGGACAAAACGCAGCAATTTTCCAATAGGCCCGTCAGCCTGCTACCGTGTATGTCGAAATTATTCAAAAAACTTCTTATGCTGCGCACCTCCCCACATTCGGAAGCCCGCAACATAATACCACTTCACCAATTTGGCTTCAGGGAAAAACATGGAACAATCGAGCCAGTAAATTGCATAACAACCGAAATCCCAACAGCGTTTGAAAAGAGGGAATATTGCGCTGCAATATTTCTTGACGTCGCCCAGGCATTTGATCGCGTCTGGCTAGACGGTCTTATGTATAAAATACAGATGCTACTCCCACAAAGCACACACAAACTGCTAAAGTCATACACTTATAATCGAAAGTTTGCAGTTCGATGTAACGCCACCATCTCTGAAGCCCATGCAATCGAAGCTGGAGTGACACAAGGCAGTGTCCTTGGCCCGATGCTGTATGTCTTATACACCGCGGATATTCCTAGAAACGACCGCCTGATAATGTCCACTTTTGCCGATGACACTGCCATAATCAGTCGCTCCAAGTGTCCTCTACAAGCAACCGCGCTCTTAGCAATCATATGGAAGCTGTTGCCAATTGGCTCGAAAACTGGCAAATAAAGGTTAACGAGCAAAAATATAGGCAAGTTACATTTACACTGAATAGGAGTAACTGTCCGTCCTGGACTTTGAACAACGTACAAATACCACAAAGCAATCATGTCACTTACCTAGGGGTCCATCTGGACAGGCGACTTACTTGGCGAAACCACATAGTGACTAAAAGGACTCATCTCAAGCTGAAGGCTAATTCTCTCCACTGGCTTATTAACTCTCGCTCACCCCCGAGTCTGGAGTATAAAGTACTTATTTACAATACAGTTTTAAAACCGATATAGACCTATGGATGTGAGTTATGAGGAAACGCGAGCAGCAGCAACATCGAAATCCTTCGTCCTTCGCAATCTCAAATCCTTCGAACGATCACCGGACCACCTTGGTATATCCGAAATGAGAACATTCACCGCGACTTGAGAATACCAGAAGTACGAACCGAAACAGAACAACGGAAGACGAAATATGTATCGAGGCTTTTAGTGCACCCAAATCATTTAGCAAGATCTTTATTGCGTGTCAACAGGACTTCAAGACTACGTACGTAGGAATGACTTACCAGCCCAGTCGTAATCTTTTCTTAGGGCCAGTTAAGAAAATACTTATCCCAACTAGGGGATGTAAATTAAGTGAATAGATTAAGATTCGAAAACTTATTGTTAGGCTCTTAGGTAGGGCAGATTCAATAAATAAAAATAAAAAGTTAAAAAAAAAAAAAATAAAAGTTTCTGGTGCCGAAAGGCTGGTAAATATTGAAAATGTAATTTTAAAATTTTATCCTTGAAATTTCTTAAAATTTGTTTTTGAAAAAATTATATGTTATGGGCTTATATAAACTCGATAACATCCTCGAATTTCGTTCTTCTAACTTTGTCAGCTTAAAAATTACCTATTCGTCCTTGTGAATCCAAAAAATTTAAATTTTTTAAATTCTAAAGACATTTCCTATTGCATTTGTTACCCATATTTTTATTCTACATTGCATTGAATTTTTTTTAACAATTTTTGGAATTAATCATATTTTTGAAATAACAAAGTCCTTCAAAATAAATCCTGCGGTCAGAGAGAAAAAATAAAAACGCCACTTTAAATAAAAAAGTAGGTTTCAGACCCATTTATTTATTATTTATTTCATGGCAGGAGAGCTTCTCAAACAATATAGAAGCAATTTTTTCTATTCAAGTTGTTGAAGAGTAATGAATATCTAAATCCCGGGACTAATTCCGGGATCCCGGGATTGTGACAACGCCATCCCGAAAATCCCGGGATCGGAAAAAAGCCGAAAAATTAACATCCCTAGCAAGTGTGATTGTATATACATTAGGGTGGTCCAAAAATGCATGCGAAGAAGTAAAGTCGGAATTTTTATGCTCTACCCCCCAGGATTGTTCTATACCGAAAAAATATACCCTTATTTTTTATTCTGAAATCAAAAAATATTTAGAAGTCGCTCAAAGCACCCAAAGTTATCCATGTATTTTATATGGGGAAAAAACAACTTTTCGTAGAAATGGTATAGAATAGTTAAATATCCATATTTTTTACCAGAAAACTGTTTATCTGCAGGAGATTCCCAATAATGTTACTCAATTGTTTATTTAACCATTTTTTCATCGCAACTATAATTTATAGGTCCGCCAAAAACCCACAAAAATCCCCAAAAATGCTATGGGGCGACCAATAAAAAATCGTTAGTATTAAAAAATGGTTAAATAAACAATTGGGTATTATTATTGAAAGTCTCCTGAAGAGAACCAGAGTTTTCCGATCGAAAAATGTTGATTTTCAAGAACTCTATACCATTTCTACGAAAAATTTTATTTTTCCCATATAAAAATACATGGAAAACTTTCAGCGCTTCGAGGGACCTCTAAATATTTTTTGATTTTAAAATAAAAAAATAGGGGTATACTTTTTTTCGCTATAGAACAATCCTAGGGGGTGAGAGCATTACAATTCCGACTTTACTGTTGGTCCACCCCAATATACATATGTATACTGAGCAATTCCATTTAACAAATTTGAACCAAACTACTTGACTTGTTATAACGAAACTGCAAATTTGTTTTCACAACCAAAAAGCTTTCACACATAAAAGCTTGATTTTTATAGTTTTATTCATTGACTTTTCAAACAGGTAACTACAATAGCAGAAAATGCGCACTGGAGCTGCCGCCTCTGGGATTATATGTGTTCGATCCTATTTTTCCAACTGTGTGGAAATTGTTTCCTTGGAAACAAACAACTGACGCCTTATCTATAGAAATAAAGACTCTGAATAATATATTTGGGCTAACTATATCGGTTGAAGAGCATATGAAACCAGATTGGCTAAAGGTCCAATTAGGCTTGAGGGTAAGTAGTATGTATGTCCATATCGTCAATCTCGGCAATCCATAGCTATTTGATCATACTAAACATCTGGGGTGTTCAGACAAGTCCTATGCTACTGTGAAATGTTGCAGCGCTGAGCGGAATTTAACTCTTTCACAATGTTTAAAAAATTTGAAGCAGCTAAACTTAATGGTGCATTTACATGGTATGAATCTGGTTATAAGCCGTATGAATTTTCTATAAAAGAAGAACCAACTGTATGAAGAAATGAATGAAAGCGATATATATTTTACAATTTTGCATTTAGTATAGACATACATACTTTGCAAATATTCTTTTGTAAACAAAAAACAAACAATTAATTTTGCGCTAGCTCGAAACTAGCAGCTTATTTTTTTAATGTTCCTTAAAAAGGACGAGAACTGGTTGAAGTGTCCTGCTTCTCCTCCTGCTAATAATTTGCTTCCATTTAAACATATTTGTGGAAAACAGTTTTTTTTGTTAAAAAGTTTCTTGTTTATGTTTTTTCTCTTTCATATTACAAACGGTTGGCATAAGTTGAAATATTAGGGATGCCGTTTTCTTCCGTTTTTCAATGGATTTTATACTTCAAAACGCACCAAAATATTTATGAAATACTTCTACATACCGCACCCTATATCAAAAACAGTCACGACTAAAAATTTTTCCAAATTAATTTTTTTCCATTAATGGAAAAATACTACTAAGACTGTTTTTATTTTGCTGGCGCCGCTTGTGTAACATCAACAGATTTCTGCATTTCCTGAACATTTAAGGTTTTTTAGTTGTGACCGTTTTTGATTTAGGTTGCGATATATAGATTGGCGATATATAGATTGCCGCTTACACAATATGTTAGTTTTTGTCCTAGCTTTTCCAAAGGGGACGTATCTACAGTTTTACGCCGACTCCGAAAGGCGATCGTATTTTTATGGCAAGTTGTTTTCATGGCAGAATGCACTCGGAGTTAGCCATTGCCTGCCGAGGGGCAACCACTTTAAAAACAAAACTGGTTTGGAAAAAATTCCTATTGAAAATAATTCACATGCGTAAATAAAAAAATATAACTTTCGTAAATCTCAATTGGCATAGAAGAAAAACGACTGGCGTGTTTTATTAGATTCGGCCAAAATTTCTTCAGCGGTTACAGCGCTAAACAAAAGGAAGAATGAGAAAAAATAACAATGCGGACTTAGGCGGCGGTTCCGGTAAGAGCGAATGTTATTTGCGCGAATTCTCGCGACATCGCTTTAAGTCACTTAACCAATGTATGCAGATACATTGAAAGTGAGGTCGCGAGAAATCGCGCAAATAAAATTCGCCCTTATCGGAACCGCCCTCATATGCATGCGGTTTGAAGGAAACCTGAGACCACAAAATTATTGTTTGTTTCGTGAATTCTCTGATCCTTTTATGATACGACACTCCATTCTTTGCAGTAGTTTGCAAATATCAGAGCTGGGTAAATGCAATTACATTACAATTACAATTACATTCCTCAGTAATTGTAATTAGGATTCAATTCCTTTAGTTCACAGCAAAGGGATCGATTACTTTTTCAATTCCTTGAAGTAATTTCAAATGGAATTGTTTTTTTCTTTAATTCCATTAGAAGGAGTTTCATATTGTAATTGGAATAAATTACGTGCTAGTAATGTAATTTCTTTTATTTCAATCCCTTTGAAAGGAATTGAAAATGTAATTTTTTTTCCAATTCCTTTGAAAGGAATTGGAATTGTAATTGATTTTTTTTTCCAATTCCATTCCTCAAAGTAATTTAAAAAGTAATCGAAAAATTAATAAAAAAGAAATTTTTTACTGTTGAATTGCAATAGCTTTGTTAAATTTCGTGGTTGCTAACTGCGTTGAATAAACAACTTATACCTAAGTAGTATTACTAATTGGACTTTAAGAAAACTGAATAGCTTAAACTGTAGCTGTTCAGTTTATAGGGTAACGGTTAAATTTTCCAGATCCTACCGCTAACGCGCTTCGCGGCAGATGAGACCCATAAATGTTGCTGCCTTGGGCGCTGCTGTTCTCTTGGACTAATCCCTGCGTATCTATAAAAATGCACTGAGTTAATTGAGTATATTATGGTACCCTTAATTCTACCCAAAATGGCGTGCCTTCTGGGGCCTTTGAAGTACTCTTACTGGTATGCTGCGTTACAAATTAGGATAGAGTCCGCTTGAATTACGAGCCCTGTGGGACTGGAGATCCTACCTCCTAAGAGTTTTATAAACAAATTTCATTGCTATGGCTAAATTTTGATGATAACACTACAACGACGCTAAAATTACACAAAAAACGCCGAGAGACGTAAAATTAATTTTAAGTCGTATGTTACGGATCTGTATACCGTTTTTTTAGATAAGGTCATTTAGTCAAGTTATTTTCATTTTAAGTTTTCATTGCGAATGAAAAAAATTCAAACTTTAACATGGTCATACGGTCATGTACGATATGGCGTATGGGTAACATTATTTCCTGCTAATATTTCATACAAAAAATTATTGCACTTTCACTTAACCCTTGCAAACTTGTTTATTTATCCATCGATTTTCATCGGTAGTAGTGTTTTAAGCCGCAAAACAGCAGATATTGGCTAGTCTATACTAATATATATTTGAAAGGCGTTTTTTTCTGTTCGCAAAGCTCGAGAAAGGCCGTACCGATTTTTTTGAAATTTCGGAATCTACTGCAGACTTTCCAAGGATGGTTATAGGCTAAAAAAAGTATCGATATAGAAAGGGGGCGTGGCACCTCCCATACAAACCGAATTTTTCAAACTGCATATATTTGTGGTAGAGGACTAGAACTGGGTATGGTGATATATTCTTATATAAGACCAATTCCATACTCATGGAGAAAAATTTGCATGGTTGGAGAATGGGGCGTGGCACCTCCCATATAAACCGAACTTTTCACATTGCATATTTCTGGAAGTGTTCATGGTAGACTGTAAGCCTTTTTAAAACTCTTTAGTTTGACACCCACATGCCAACATTTCATTTACTTTATCAATTTAACTTAGTTACAATTCCCAAATAGGTGGCAGCCCCCCTCAAAAATATTTCCAACAGTTATCTTTCTTAAGGCGTTGGCCCAATGCAGGCTTGCTTTGAACGCCTTGCTTACTTTAAATTGTTTGGCCAAATGGCGGCTTGGAACGCTGTCAAAGCAATCAGCTGTGCAGTTAAAAAGTCAAGGTCTGTTCCCTTACACTAAGAATAATTTTTCCACAAAATTCTAGAAAATTAAAAAAAAAAGAAATACAAAACAATATTTTCAGATTTATTTTTAAATTAATGCGAATTAATTTTTGCAATTCAAAGGAATGGTAATAATTATACATACATATATAAATATATGTACATTTATTAAAAACAAAAAACTAAAAAATATCGATTTTTCAAGCGACGACTGACCAGTAGTTTGACATCATAAATATCGCTAGCTTTGTGTGAAAAGTTGCTGAGTCTTCATTTTATGGAACCTCATATTTTTATATAGGAGGCAAGAGAAATTAAGGATTAAGGTACTTGTTTTATTTTTTCTCGTTTATATTCAATGAAAGACAAATTTTCTAAGTCCAAAGAGACCTCGAATATCCGATAAGGCCAAAATAATACGAAATCTTTTAACAAAGATCGAATCCTTCTGATTCGTATGGAGTTTTGCTTTGCTTTAAACATGCAAAATGTTGTATTCAAAGTTCTTGTAAAATTTGTAAAAATGGACTTAGCAATTTTTCACTTTAAGCCAGTGTCATGTTAAATATAGATATGGAATCATAGAATCGATTTTATTAACATACATACATTATACATATATTCTTTTTTAATTTAGTAAAATTTCTACATAAAAGTGTGCAGCAGTTTGTTTGAATTTATTTAGAACGGGAACATACTTGTTTGTCAAAAGCCTACAAAACTCTTTCAAATAAAACATTTGCCTATTTGAAACTTTGAGGCGCTTAAAGTAAGTGAAGCAAAGCTCCCATTTGGCCACCCGTCATACGTTTTAGTATATTCCAAATGACTTTTGACAGATCTCAAAGCGAAGCAAGCAAAGCAAGCCTGCATTGGACCAGTACCTTTAAACCTCTTTAATTTGATTATTGTAATATTTTATTTATTTTATCAATGTAATTTAGTTAAATTTTCAAACAGATGGCAATCCTCCTCAAACATATTTTCGGCGGTAAGCCTTCTAAAACTCTTTCGTTTGACACACCCACATGGCAATATTTCATTTTTTTTTAACAATTTGACTGAGTTTAAATTTTCAAATAGGTGGCAACCCTCGTAAAAAATACTTCCAGCAGTTATCTTTCTTAAAACTCTTTAACTTGATACCCATATTGTAAAAATTCATTTATTTTATCAATATAATTGGGTTTAAAATTTTTTAAATAAGTGGCAACCCTCCAAATTTTTGCGATATCATTGGTTCTGGTATTATACCGAATAATTTAAAAAAAATTATTGAAATCGGTTTAGCCGTTCTCGGGTTTTGATGACCGTGACATACGAACACAACATTTTTATATATATAGATATACATAGAAGATGTCCAATGTGTGCTTTCGATTTTAATCTTTGACCACAACAAAAATTCCACATTGTACATTCGTGAATGAACTTTCAGTTTCTCGATTACTTTTACAATTCCTTTGAGTAATTGAAAAAACTAAAGTACTCTTGCAATTCCAGGTAATGGAATTGAAAGAAAATCAATTACATTTTCAATTCCTTTCAAAGGAATTGGAAAAAAAATTACATTACTAGCACGTAATTTATTCCAATTACAATATGAAATTCCTTGTAATGGAATTAAAGAAAAAACCAATTTCATTTGAAATTACTTCAAGAAATTTAAAAAGTAATCGATTCCTTTGCTGTGTACTGAAGGAATTGATTCCTAATAACAATTCCTTGTAATCTGTAATTGGGAGTAATTTAATTCCTAAAGGAATCATTACGACCCAGCTCTGG